CTTTAGCCTCCTCTTTCTTGCATATAGATTTTGAAAAAAAGCATCCCCTATCTGTTTTATAGCTTGATTCATTTTGAAGTAGGAAATTCTGATGTATCATCTCTGAATTCAAATGGGCGGTACATGAACGTCATAACCAGTACCCCTGTCACAGTGCTTCCTTAGAACAGACAGACATTCTCCCAGCCTCACACTCCCTTTGCCTGAAAATTATATATAGGTATGCCAGGCCTGAGATTGGTACAGCTTGTTTGCTTGCACTCTGGAAACAGAAGTCCTTTCTGGCTTCCTGGATTGCACATGGAAGCTCTCATAATCTTTCTTGCTTTGGTTGCAATGTTCCCCTGTCTGGATGGTAGCTGCCAGAGAGGAAGTGGGCTTAGATCCCTGGGCCAGTGGTGGAGTTGGCTTTCAGCATCAAAGAACAAACATTTAAATAAGCAGGAAAAGTTTGTTAAAATATTGGTGCTGTGTATGTTAAACAGGCAGAGGTGTCATTGAATTAGACTATGTGTGGACAGCCTAGAGCTGCTTGTAGAGCGAGCCACTGAACATGTCCCTAGGAAGGATTTCATTAGCAAAATCCAACCAGGACAAACCAGGAAGAAGAAGCCTCTTCCTGAGGAAGGGTTTCAAGTTCCTTGAGACCTCACAATCCTGGATCTCTCTGACTGCTCTGCAATTTCACCTGTAACGTAGGGAGGGCTTCATGTGTCTCTCTTGTGCCTAAAGGACCCTCGTTGGCTACAGAAATGAGGGCAGAATCAGAGAAAAGTACCCCAATCTTAACAGTGTTTCCAGACAAAACTTTCATCAGAATATTTAGCTATTGTCTTCTGCACCAGATCTCCTTCCACCCCTCACTTTCACTCCCATTTTATTCTTTAATTATGTTGTTTTTTGCTCTCATGAGTTATAGGGGAAGAGAGTTTCTATTCAAACTCCAGGCGCAATTGTACACGGTGGTACAAGGGGAGTACATGGGAAGCCATTCCAGACGAAGATAGGCTGACAGCCAGCGTCTTAGAAGAAAGAATTGTCTGACACCAATTTTACTTTAGTCCATTATGAAATTAGGGATTACTAGTAAAGTCTGGATGTGGATTTGGGCACAGAGTTTCAACACTAGTCTATTTAGTAGTTGGGAAGGTACAGGAAGGAAGAGCTGTTGACCTTACGGTTTTAGTTTGGGCCCTTCTCCAGCCACAAGCAGCCTGAAGGAAAATTGAGACTGATTAAATTAGTCTTCTTGAAGTCCCACTGAATTTCATTGCATAGAGCAGAAAAAAGAAGAGAGAAAGTGAAAATAAAAAAAAGAACAAGTCAGTTGGTTTACATGAGTTTATTTCATGTTAAGAGAATAAGGTGCAAGCCCAAGTGAGGCTGACAGAAAGAAATTACAGAAAATGTGAGGAGAAATACAGATAAGCAGAACTAAGGGCATACTAGAAAAGTAACACCCATAGGTAAAAAAAAAATAATCAAACCTTCAATGAAGTAATTCAGAAGAGGAAGGTTTCCAGGAGACGTAATGGTGGTTTTAACTATCATAATGTAAAAGCAATAACCAGTGATGATAAGGAGATTACAGTGAGCTAAAGGATTTCTTTGCATTGATCTTCAGAAGTAGAGATGACAGCAGGAAATAGCAGGTCTTTAGCTGTAAAATATACATAATATGAAAAGCCAGAGGTTTGCTTTTGGTTTAGATGAGTGTAAGAAAGTAAATGTTAATAAAGCACCTGCACCGGGTTATGTTTTGTATAAAAGCAGTGACAGAAGAAACAAAGGATAAAACAATCAAGCTATTGGCCAAAGTACACATGTGACTATTAAAAATAGTACTTACTGCAACAAGTGATGCCAAGATAGCGATCCATGTATTTCTACCCATAATGGGTTCTTCAGAGGATGTGACCATTCAGATTACAATCTCATTACCAGCAGAAATTGTCAAGGAAGTACTTACGTTTTTCTTGTTATTAATGATAAAATCACACGTAATGGGAGGTACCAAGACTTAGAAGAATGAGCAAAGATGGGAAGTCCAGACACTGTTATTCTTTATTTGTACTGAGGCAGTGGCCAGGAGCCAGAAAAACTCTGGACACAGAAAAGGCCTCTTCCCCAAAGAGCTCCACCATTGACTTGCAGGGAGGTTTGTGTCATTTCACAGTTCTTCTTCAGTTTCTCTGTGTTACAAACCAGAGGGATTATAATGATTACCTGATACTTATTGCTAATTCATGTTTGTAAGGCTCTTGACACTATAAGAAGTGCTGAGTGTTTATTATTTTGCAATAATGGCTAGAAAGAGCATAATTATAACAGACTTTCATTTTCACATATCGTTTGCTTTCACAACATTTTCACAAAATTCACTCACCACATTTTTTAATCAGAGGGTTGAACAGAGAATCCTCAAAGCTAAAATGAAAAACAACTGTGTTAAGACTTGTAAGAAACAGGCTCTATTGACTGTCTTCAGCTTGGAAGAGGAACAGTTAGTATTCAAGGTCAGAATCAAAAGGGACGGCAGTATACCACTAGTGGTAGAAAAGCTCTTGCCAAGTAGTCCATGCATATAAGGTACAGGTGGAGATAAAGAAAACAAATTTGCAGTAAAAGGCATCTTTTGAAATTTCCATTGAGAAATACAGAAACAACAGCCTCTCTATTGACTTGAACAGAGACACCAGGAATAGCCTTCACCCAGAGAGACAAAGGGGCCCCAGACAATCTTCTCAGCTAAAAACAGGACGTACATCCCTCAGCCCCTCCCATAACCATCATTATCCCCCTTCCAAAATTTGGAGTCACTTCATATTTCCCTGTCACTGGAATATCATAACAAGTGCTCTGTGTGCTGCTGGTCTAATACAGTATTGATACAAATGCAGTATCTGTAGAAATACTGCTTGGACAATGGTTTACAATGGAGTCAGCAGAGAAGGACCTTTCTCATGTTGTATTTAAGTTTCCCAGTCTCATGGGGTCAAGAATACTCAAGGACTCTTCCAGGGAAACCATGGATGGACACAGAGAAGACATGTCCTTCCCTGCGCAGAACTGAACTATTGTTCACCCAGCACTTCCTAAGAGGTCAAGGCATTTTTAAGCATTTTGCAGCTTGAGCCTACCTACCCCACAAGTGATTGGGGTCAATGTTGAACAGGGCGAGCACTACAGTGAGAAAGGAATAACACTTCCTCTTGACTCCAGATCTCATAATGCCAGAGCCCATGGAAAAGAATAAAGCTCTGAGTGTGTTAGTATCTGCCATTTGTGTGCTAACATGACCCTAAAGTGCCCTCGGAACAGAGCCCAGCACTGCAAATTCACTCAAAGAGCCTCTTCACCTCTTCCTGATCAGATCATGAGAAGGGAACAACTGCCAGATCTGCAAAGAGAGGAAAAACAATATCTGTTCATGTGGCTTTATATATATTTATATGAATTTAATAAGTATATAGATATATATTTGGTTACTCTTGCTTTATTTTTAGACCTCTCTAATTAGGCCAGTTTAAGAGTCACCTCCTGTCCCCTCCTGCCCCATAGCTATGAAAGCACCTCCCCAGTTACAAATCCTGGCTCAGATGAATTTATTACATTGTAGAAGAAAAACTTGTTGTTCATAATAATGTGGTCAGAGTTATTTTCTCTCTTACTGGATGGGAGAGACTTCTCTACTTTTTTTTTTTTTTTCCCCTGTTATAAATATAGCACAAACTAAACAGAGCCACTCTGTAATGTAAAAATACTGCAAGCTTTTTATCAGGAAGGACAGCTCATCACCTTGTCTCCCTCGGGACTGGAAATAGAATGTTCCAAAAGTGAGAGCTTTGAAAATCCAGTGTGCTAAAGAGGAAAGGAAGGGGAAAGGGCTGCCTCGGTTTGTCAAGGAACAAATATTTTCTTTTACAGAGGACAAATAATGACATGTAACATTCACAACAGAGCAGCCCAATCGCTGTGTTCCCACTGACTCATGAGCAAGGAGGTACCACCCATCTTGAAAATAGCAAAAGCTATTTTCTTGCACATCAGTCTGGAACCCTTTGCTGGAAACAGAAAATGGTGATTGATCCAGGGCATTGGGGACCAAATCTGCCAAAACCTGGACCCAAGAGCAGTTCTTCATTAGAGAGTTTGTGGGGATTACAAGGATGAATGCATTAAAGGCAGCGCAACATCTGGAGAACTTCAACGTGAGGATAAGAAGGAAATACAGACTTTGTTGTGTCTTTATTATTTTGAGGTGAGTCAATGTTAGGCCTAAACTGAATGTGTGTCAGTTGTATCAGGTATTTTCTGAGAAGGGGAGTATAATTTG